AACATTGTAATGCCACGTCTACGATTACATAAGCGATTACACCAGCTGTATGTGTTTAAATATTTCACCACTTTCGATCGTGAAGTCTAGTTTGGAGGAGCTCCTCAGACTTACAAGTCTGATCCCACTTTTGGGAGGTGATTTTTCCAACTGGTACCAAAGAAGTTCCAACATACGATTTAAAATGGAAAGCGCTGTCAATCTCCCAGACCATAGTGTGTGCGTACTGGTTAAATGGGTTTCGGCTTCATAATCTGCTGATCTGTATTTTTCCTCTTCAGTCAATGTAGCATACTGTGGAAATGTTGGGTGGTCCACTCAGAGACAAAAAAAACTTAATGGGACCTGATCCGCCATTTCCAACGTTCAGTAAATGTAACGCAGCACATATCTACTTCATGCTTAACCAACTGTGCATCACTACTTATGTGATGTAGGCTTAGAATCCCAACTGTTAAATGCTTGTGTAAACGGAAAAAGCTGGAAAAGACCAGACCGACTGTCAGCACATTCACCTGAAATTTTCTGGTGTGTGAAAAAACCTCACAACAAAATTTGTACAATGTAACCAGTTTTGAAATTCCATTCCAGTTTTGTTTCCCCCTCCAAAACACATTTCCATGTGACTTTAAAACAAATGACAGGAAAAACTAATTCCAGTACAAGGCAGAAATATAGGCTTTAGTTACCTTTAGATATTGTGAGTGCAGGAGACCACTGCGACCTCAAGATGTCAAGGCAAATGCTACCATTGCTGTTTATGTTTGGGTGATAGATTTTAGTTGTAAAGGCAACCTAGGGGGAAAAAAACATATTCTAAAGATTGTTGGATCTTTGTCAAAAGAAACATCAGTAGGACAAATGTGCCTATGACAACCAACACACAAATACAAGTAGAAAAAACTTCCAGAAGGTAATGAAAAATGCCCGTAACACTAAAGCTAGTGTATTTTTGTGTAGATCAATTACCTTTGGTGGCTTGAAGGGATAATCAGTGGGAAAATGGACAGAAAGGAAAAATACCCCTCCATGATAAGGGCTGTCATTCTGAAATAGAGAAAAATATTGCTTAAATATGATGAAAATGTGTGCCTCCATAGTGCCATGGACTCCAGCTAATAACAGTGGTAAAGTGTGTCAGGCTGAGCTTTTCATACATAACAGAAAGGGCTTTAAAGTACACATAAAACACCATTGTCTAAAGATCCAGAAGCAGCTTGGTGGAAAAGAGAAAAAAATTCAGGAAACAAATCCAGAATCCAGAAAAGGCTCACCGGTCCTGTGATGGTAGCTTGCCAGTGAAACACTAAAGAAAAAAAAGAGAAAACAAAAGCCTGTGAGAATATAGTTAATTGCAAATCTGCATGGCAATGCAGCCTGGAAGACACAGCTGTGATTTAAGGATCTACAAAGGAGAAGATTACCAAAAATAAATTATATATACATATTAAATCTATTTTACAAACCATTAAATATTAATTCCCACACTTACTGTCTTCCCCTACAGGTCCGGCTGAACATGAAGCTGGAGGATCCCTCTGCAAGTCATTTAACTCCTACAAATATAAACATTTTTTTACCTTCATTGATTTGAGATCCTGCTACACTGCAATGCATCTCTTAAGAAGCCAATTTAACATCTTAAATAAAGAATAGGCATTAATACATAAAGGGATTAGGACGATAAAAAAATAAATGTTTTGTAGCTACTGCTTTCCTTGGTCCTTTCGATTATAAAGTGTAGAATCACATGAATTAATCTGGACTAGGTACATCAGGAAAATTGCAGACTACAGCACCTGAGACAATGATATGGATCTAACGAAACAATCCTGCTTTACGATTCATCAGCCGTGACGGCTACAGATATACAACATTTTGGAGAAGTAAAAGACGTTAATATCTTTTGTAGTATGAGAAATCAAAAGTTTACGAGTTCGTTTACATGCCAATCACAAAATATTAGTCGTTCCTATGATTAAATCGCTGACATTAAATCAATACTAATTAAAAAGAAAGAAACTATGTGACAATTTACTATGTCGAGACTAAAACTGTCTACAAAACGGTAATCAACCGTCTTTGCTAATGGTAACGTTAGCAAAGATGCTATTAGAACACTGGCTAACGTTTCAGAGGCGTTTCCGCATAGCTTCAGCCGATTCTGAACATTAAACAAATTAGGAAAACGACTGTTCTTACCTTCTGTATTCTCTTCAAAGCCATGGTAAGTTTTTCAGAAAAGTTTTGAGTAGGTACGGTGGCAACTTTGAGGGCTGTCAGGTACAACTGGGCTCACTTTGTGTCGAGTCGGTGTTATTTGTTTTGACAAACTGATTACTTCTTTTGTTTCCGCGTTTTTGTTCCACAGTGAAAAATAGTGTTGCATTGTGGGAGTTGGCGTTTTTGTGCTTATGTCATTTAAAGGGACCGCTCAGTTAAAAGAAAAACACCAAAGGAAAACTAATACATGACGCTACGGTTTAAGCCATTTGATTAATTTTCCTTGACAATGCACTTATTAGCCCTTTCTACAATATGTATATTACAGTAGTTCCGGGAATGTTCACTTCTCTGTCATTGGCTACTGATTGTAGCTGATTATTTAAAAGTTTTAACCTGTTTAGCAAGGACTTTGAGTGTGTAATGGATCGATATAACCAGTCATTTAAAAGTTCTGCTTTGGATTAGTTAATTTATTTTTGGAAATGTAATAATATGAAAGTTAGTAACATCTTTATTGTATATTTGGAATATTTCTGTTATCATTTTGCACACATTTTCTTAATTGAATCATATCTTAAAATAAAACCTTTTGTAAGACACACGTTTAAACAGTATAGTATTGCAGCTATATTTAAATATTATAAGAGCGAATGCTTCTTCACCCCATTCTTTTTTATTGCAAATGTAAAAAGAAATATTCATGAGGGACATTGTAATATTAACTGAATGCTGATCATGAAGGACCTTTTATAAAAAGTAACTGTAAAGTATACATTACCCTTGAAAGTGGACAATCTTGGGGTAATTATCACCCAGTACTTGATCCTTTCTTTGTTCAATAAAAAAAATCCAAATCCAGGATGGTGTTTGGTTTCAACTGCAGGCACTTTTAGCTGACTGCTACCTAAAGCCCCAATAGGTATAGTGCATTTGTATTTTTATCAAGTGCATCAAATATTTACTTAAGCTGTTGGACATTGATTTATAAACTGCCACCATTCTTTACTGAAAGCCAGCATTAAGATGTAAGGACTTTTTTACAGCAGCACCCTGAAAGGATCTGCAGTAATCTAGTGGTCTGCTGGGAAAACTAAACAAGAAATCGTCACTGCATGCAGCATGCGGAGATGAAGGCATGAATGAGGTCCTCTAAATCTAGAATGGACAGGAACACTCTAATTGTTGCTATTTATACTTATAAAAGGCTGATGCAGTGGTTCCTCAATAACAGCCCCTTAAGACATACAAATGTATGGTTGTTATTATTTTCTGCACTTAATTTGCATCCATACATTGAAATCTACCGGGTTGACGGATTTAGCTTCTATAGGTGTTTAGATCTGGAGATTTAGGGTGATTTGGGATGTGGATTCAGTTTTGACATCTCAAAATAGCAGTCATCTACATAACATCGACAAACGGAAATGTGCTAATACATTAATCCTGTTTACCAATTTATTTTGATAATGTTTTTATTTGAACTTTTCTTTGGAAGTTTTGATTGGTCTTTGACAGAGAAGGTTGAAAATATTCCAAGACAAAAGTAATTGATAGTGATGCCTCTATCAGACCTGCAAACCTGGACAAGATTAAGCAAGTGTGGGGAAGGAATGAATGGATACCTCTATTGGAGTAATTATTGCAAACATCCATTTAACCTTCATGAGAATGAAACATTTTTCAAATGGAAAACATCTAGTGTTCATATCTGTAAGAGGCCTCAAGTGAAACCTGAAAACTGCCTGATTGCCATTTTCATCAAATCCCTCAAAAATGACAAAAATAAAACAACACGGTATTGAAACAGGGGCACACTCTCACATTAGATTAAATTATAGATTTAATCTAAGAAAGTTTGATTAAATAGCTCTTTCTTTACGATTTAATATCTCACAATGTTGACATATTAAATGTTTATCTTTGGAAAGTCGATGTTACATTATTTCAATGGTGATTATACTTTACAAATGTCCAGTCTAAGGGAAGAGTGGACTCCTTGTTTGAAGAACATTTTGCTGAAGCTGTTTAGTCAGTGTGAAATTTAGGGAAAAAGGCCATACCTGTAATATTTCACACGGTTGCATTCATCAGTTTCATGGATAGGTGCAAATCACTAGCATCAATATGGTCTTCTATGTGTTCCACTGGATCTGAAATTCTGCTGAATTCTAATGTTTTCTTGCACTTGTGATCATTGTTAGATATGGCCTAAGAAGTTTATGGAACACAAATGCTGAACTTTCAAGATGCAAAATGATATTTAAAGTAGCTACGCTGAGTGGTGATCAGTTCAGTACAATGTATAAATGTTGTATTGCTCATAGTTATCTATCCCTGATTTAATTTCATGTATATCATGTGTAAAAAAAAAATTTTGTGAACAGTTTCTAACAGTGAAGAAGCTCATTTCCATGTTATAAGAAATTATCAGCAAATTCTCTTAACGCAAAAGTATCTAAGCACAGGGCTTTTTTTTAACATTATGCTACAAACTTATTATGACAGATGCACAATCTTCTTAATGTTTGGGGCTCGTTTAACCTTGTGATAAACAATCACATTTTGTGTATAATGGAGAAATAGAAAAAACAATAATGTTTAGTTGTGAAAAGAAGCATAGTGTTTCGAGTTTCCACCTCATGCAAAGAAATTAGTCAATGAAATCTGTGTCATACTGTGTCCCTTCCTGACCTTTGAAGAAGATTGCGCTTGTTGAAATATTTATGAGCCACTCAATTGCTCTTATCTGGACCCTGATGCCTGAGGTGGCACTGCAGTAAATAAGTGCTAAATTTAAGACGGAAAAAACAGCAATTCGTTTCCAAAACGGTTGGTAATTTATTCCTCACACACGATTGGTCGTAGATCAATGCGCGCTCACGCCCTTCGAGGCGGCGTGCCCGCGCTTCTGAGCATCGTTTTTAGGGGAGGAGAAGAGAGACGGAGACAGAGCTGTGCCACACCGAGTGTCCAACGAATGTTTGCCCGTGCACGCTGCCAATGAATACCTCTCACATTCCTACGTCTGGCAGTTGACGAACTGAACGATACGGACCAGGCTTCCACCCCAGTGAGGATTCAGGACTCCTATACCGGGCTGCGTGTTTTTTCAGGTAAGCCCCCCTTCTCTCCTCCACCGGGGACCGTTTTCTCCAGCTCCTTTCTGTGTATTTACGCGCCGTTCGTGGGAAGAAAAACGACTACGAATGAGGGGCGTTTTGTTTGTAGCTGTCCAAGGTGCTGAAACATGCTCGAGGCGACAAAAAAAAACACACAACCCAGAAGCGCCAACGGCCTCACGTTCAGAGCAGGTTACACGACTCTGCTGTCTCTCTATGTAGTGATGCAGAATAAACCTCGCTGGGATGCCGTGTGGTTGTCATGTAGAAAAAAAGAACGACGAAGCTGCAAAATGCATTCAATATCTGTATATCTACACACGCGAATGAGCGTGTCCAGTCTGCCCTGTGGAGCATCGCACCTCCTCTAGCGACGGTGTGTTGTTCCACTGCATTTACCACTGTCATGATCCGGGTCTTCACTTTACCTTTTTCTTGCCAATTCAATCATCGGGTGCATTCGTAGTAGGTGCCGTGTAAGTGCGCGAGGAACCCTTTGATGCCAGCAAAAGCTGGAATTGTATTACTGTTGCAGACATTGATGAGTCCATTTGAGAAAAAAGCAATCGTAGGCTTGTAAATGGCGCCTACCATTGATTTTCAAGTTGAACTTTTGTCCCATTCACAGGAAACTTGCAGACCTACTTTGTATAAAAGCACCCTGCCCCCATCCCCCAACAACCCTCCTAACCCCCAAAAAAGGGGGGAAAAAGAAAAAGAAACTGTCCTTGTAAAGACCTTGCATTCAGATTTGCTAATTAAAAGGTTTACACATCTGCTCAGTGTGAAAAATAAAAGCCACATGTGTTGGAACATGAGTCAGACCACAGGTTATGTTGATGGTTCTCTTCCCGGCAAACGAAGATTAACTGTGCTCAAGCTGCACTGTTCTTCCGAAAGACTTAAATATTCACTTTGTCAATAACAGGAGCACCTGACATTTCCTGTGGCAGATTAACCCACTGGATCATGGCACAGACCAACAGCAGCGGGCAGGGGACCAACGGGGTGGCGGATGAGTCCCCCAACATGATAGTGTACAGAAAGGTAAGGCAGCTGCTATTATTAGTGCGGTTGTGTGTCAGCATGTGGGACTCTTGCATCAATATACTTGATGATCAACTGTGAAATGAGAAACACTAATGGAAGACAATGTATTTTTTGTGTTTTTTGAGACAATGCTATTGCTCAGCTTGACAAAAGCTTTGAGAAAACGTGAATTTTAAAGTCCCATAAGTGACAAGGAATGGAGTAAAATACCTACACCCATGTACCCACACACATACCTTGACATGCATGCACACATTTTCCAGCTGAACCATTAGTCCTAATCGAAGGATGTTTTCTTTTAGCGGACAGACATTAATGGAACAGAAAGGGAGCCAAAGGGGCTTTAAGCATTGTTCATTACACTGCCAGTGGTGTATTTCTTCCCTGCTAAATCTGTTACTACATTAGATAATTAAGAGAGGGGGAGAGAGTGAAATGGCCCACTGCTGAGACACCTTAATCCGGTTGAGCCCTAACATTAAACAGATTATTGAGATAATAATCTGCACTGAAGATAACAGTTGTTTACTTTAAGCCTTGACATCTAACTATAGTTTCTTATGGAAACTTTGGTTACAAATATACACACAGAAGGTAATTATGCACTATTCATCATAAGCATTTATACTGATATAATATTTGTCTCCCTTTAGGTAAATACTATAAAACTAGATTTAAAATTAACAAAAATAAGCAATTAAAAAGATTGCTTTATCTACCGCCAGGGGACGATTTTGTTCCCTAGTGTCTTTAGTGTAAAGCATGCTGAGTGTTAAATCTATCCGGAAAACAAAACCCCTTGTTTAATACTTAAGTGATGCTAAATTCTATCTTAAAGTGACCTGCAAATGTATTAAGACTTAGCTTAAGCTTTATGCATCTGGGTAAGTAATTATGATAGTGTTACACTCTTGTGATGTCCCCAATAAAGGGATTATTTGCTAGTGGGGTAAACCAATGCACAACGAATTTCTTAATTCTATTCTTCTCTCCCATGACAACCACTGCACACCATAAATAAGATGTGCCTACTATGATATCATTAGTACATCTTTCATGGCACCCAATATTTGATTGGAAATATTGTCATGTTTGTAGCAAAAAAAAATTGTTTGCTATTTTAGAGGTCAGAGATTTCAGGGTCTTCCCAAAATAAGGAGACAGACTCCAGATATTGACTACTTTGTAAGTGGGCCACACATTGAAAATAACATAGATTATTTACATTATATTTAATATAATGATCTAACATATATTATATATTGTTCAATATCTACAGTACATGGACTTATGTGAATAGTACACAAGGAGAAGGAAGTAGATTATTACATTTCAATTTAAGGTAGAAGCTACAGTATCAAAAGATGCCAAGTCTTGTCAAATCAATTGCATCCTGTTTAGGTGCATTGAACACTGACCAGAGGTCTGTCTTGATATTCAGTTACATATGATGTCTATTCCATTGCCCTGCTATTGATCTGTAACTCTTGCACTTTTGATCGCACCAACCCAGAAAGTGTGCAATGAATCCAAATGTTGTCAGCTTACAAGGGCTGCTGCTGTCATAAATTTTGGTTAATATTGAAATGCCATCCAGACCTAATTTCAATGACATAATTGGAACTGCTCAGTACTATGTAAATATTATGCTAACGATGTATAAAAAGTAGAAAAAATATTCCAGTGATGGACTTCTATCCATTTGTAAAACACATTTGGAAAACAATGAGACCCCAACTATTATGCCACTTTACTCAGTTATCTTATGAAATAGAGTGAAAATAATTATTTGATTTGTGCAAATTTATTGAAATTATCTCAAATAATCCTAAATATATAATTATGTAATCATGTCCACATGCTTGTTAGCAACCAAACTAATATAATGAGTTGACTATAATTTCTGTTGGATTTTTCTTTTTACATTGATCAATTGATCTATTCGGCGTGTTAGACAGAAATTGCATGGTAAAGGCAGTAATGATGAGATTATGCCTCGGAAGTGGGTTTAACTCCTTCATAATAGAAGAGCAGATGTCTGCAGACATACAGATACCAACAGAATAAACAGGTGCCTCAAAGATTTTTCGGATGAAGATGACTTGGCAGAAGTGTTGCAACCCACACTGACTGAGCTGAGCCCTAAGATGAGGTGAAATCTTAAGTGGAAAACACGCTCTCATGCCCTGTTGCTGCTGATCCGAGCCTTTCGTCAGTGTGATACGTCGGTATCATACACGCGCTGTGTAAATACTGTGAAATGCTGACAGAGAGCTGTTGGACACACCTATGCTATATCTGACGATATGCGAGTAGTGGAAGTGTTATGTAATATGAGCAGAGGGAGGTTTTATGGTCGAGGACAGCAAATAGTGGTTTGATAGTCTTTCCACAGGGAACTTTATCCTTTCACTCTCACCCAGTCTCTGGCCCATCCATCTTTCCACTCCTCTCGTTAACTTCTAATGAAAATGGATGGGTGAGCTGTTGCGTTGTCCTGCTCACTGAGGAGATGTGTACCGTAATGTGCTGTCTTCAAGGACAGACTCAACAGACACCTTGTTTCAAAGCATGTGTAGGTCATACTTAGTATGTAAAATCCACAAGGATGTGCATTTCATTTCTACACATTACAGCATGTACAAAAACACACAGCTTGCTTTGTGAGGACACTGATTTTTTGGCAACAGTCACTGGTGACAATGCAAATTTCATCATCTGCTACATGACTTGAAAAAATACTCATAACCAATTTTAATTCTTCTGTTAAAAAAGAGAGATCCAGTAAAGTCATCAGTGACTGAATCTCATGGCCATTTTTTATGGTAACTTATCACCTAAAACCCTGTTTGATGTCTCTCTGCTCATCAGCCTGCCATGGCAAGCTGAGATTTTACTTTATGTGTGTGCTTTCATACCTGCTCACATGCGTGCACCATAAATTATGCCGTGATGCATGTGTGAGAATGTGTGTGTGCTGTATATAGGGCGAATGTTGCTTAGAGAGAGTTTTGAATTTTTTATACAAGCCTAAAACAGCTCTGGTTCACGGCCACTCAGCACGAGGAAGGAACTTAAATCTCTCACCAGACAGCACTTTGTGCAGAACTGTAATTGCTTCCCTCCTTTTACATGTCTATGGGTAATCATGTGTCTGTTATTTGTAATCAACATCTTGTGTCCTGAAGTCATTCTGTTCAGTGTGCAGTTTGTATGGAACATTGTTTCAGCCATTCAATTGTTATTTCTTCTGAGACGCTTTGATTTGAACCTTGATTTTTGCCCATTCAGCTAAATAAAACCCTGAACTTAATTAGCTGGTGCAACAAATATGTTGATTTAACGTGACATTTTGGCAAAATATGAAACACAACCAGTCATTATTCGTCCAGCATCCGGTATGACTTCCATCTCTGTGAACAGCCTTGAACCCCTTTCTTTCATATTAATGTTTTTTATCTCCATCAAAAGCATAGCACTTATTGATCTGCTATCAGTGTTTACTTGTAATGCAAGTAATAGTCAACTCACACTTGTCTGCTTTTACATCACTCTGAAGTCTTCCTTTTAAGAAGTCTTTATATTGATGAAAGAGGAGGCTATGGGTGATGCACCTTCATGTAACATGGGATCAAGACTGGCATGTTTGATTAATAATACAGAAACATACTTTTCATAACGTTGCTAAATATAAATATAGATTTTTCTTCTTTACTTTCAAATGATCTCTTTCTGGTTGAGTTTAGGCAGTTGCATTTATTTTAAGAGTTAAAAATAATCATGGTCAGGGCTGACACATTGACCCCCATATTATTGTATGGTTATATTTGAACATTTTTATTTAGTATTGGATAATAATACTTGTTTGAAGCCTACATTACTGTCATGAACGTAATTGTTACCATTGACATGCAGCAGCTTGTTATGACTTCGTAGTCTTTAAATTGTTATGATTGGCCATATTTGCCAGCATAAACAAATGAATGATTTCTCTTTTCTAACATTTTCTGTCATCTATGTAGCAATAACTAAAATAATGCCTTTGGACTTATTCATCTGAATAATGATAGTCAAAGATCAACTAAAACAGTTAACAAACATTAATTATGTTCATCACACCTTTGAAAGCTGTTAATGCTGCACAATGAGAGTCAAATCTTTTTTCTCCTCAGAGAGACTGTAATGTAATGAACAAGCAGAAAAGACAAACAGGGCAAAGGTATCAGAGAAAGCTATTGATTTGTCAGTTGATTAACTGGATGTATACAAGAGATCCTTTGCAGGAACATGACATTCCCTCTCCTCTGCATCAGTGTAACACAGCAGTGATACGTTATACGTTGATAATAGGGAACTATCTCTATTTATTATCTCTAAATATGATAAATATTCATATTTTATGTTTGGATTCCTGTCGTTTAAGTGTCGATATCCTTCCTCGATACTTTCAAACCTAATCTGAATCTTTTAAACAGCCTCATTCCAGCCGCCTGGCTATCCGTGCAATTTCCCAACCATCCTATGTTGCTCGTGAGTCATAAAACAGAAGGATCTGAATACAGTTTCGGCTTTTTCTAAGTTGAGAGCCAGATTGAAGGGTTCTTGTACTGCTTGTCTCCCTCAGTGTGCAATCAGAGGATCACTAAGACCGAGAGAAAGAGAGGAATAGGGGGGTGAGGTGGGATGATCCATAATTGCCAGATCAGAGAGAAATCTTTGTGTGTGAAGTAGGGCCCTTTGTATGTCAGCTTGCCAGCCAGACAGTTTTGCTTCCTGTGTATGAAAACATGCATGTTCATACAGTTTGAGTGAAAGTAACGGAGGTTTGGCAGAGGCTGTTGGATAGAATATTGACGTCTATGGCTTTATGCATTTCAATAAAATAATTTGTTCCTGTATTTGTTGACATCAGCACTTCAGTGACAGGAGCCATGAGCTGAGCCGTAATAGTGAGCATCTTTTTTAAAAATCAATTTGTGCTTCCAGAGACTATATTA